TTGTGATTTAAGGCTATATCGAAGCAATCCGCACAGGATGCACATATGCTAACATGAGACTGATTAATTGCAGTCCTAAATAACGATGGGAAGGTACCAATAAAACAACACCAAGTGAGTTATTATATGAGTTTTACTTTTTATATTACTTCATTTATTTTTGTACAGTTTTCTCGTTTCTCTGTTTCTTTCTTTCAAACAAGTAGGGACATAATAATAAACGACTTTTATAAATATGAAATAAATCACTTCATATTAAGCATAATCTTTAGTTATTCAATTAGTGGTTTATGTATGTTTAGCTGTTATGATTCATATAATTTGAAATGAGGTAGAGCTCGGGATTAAAGTTGTGTTTGGCCTTACAGTTGATATACATATATACCATTTTATTACGCTACCTCCATAACTTCTATGGTTGGTCTTATAATTGATATTGTTAACTACAAAATATCAATGCGATGGCTTGGTTTCACAAAGTAGCGTATGTGAATTGCTGTAAAAGTAATTTACGAGGTAATGAATATCACTTGTTTTCCCAATATAATGAACTCTTCATTGTAGGGTAACGATTTACGGATTGAAAGATTATTAGAACATAAATATATTTATATGAATGTTCTTATCACAAATTGATTTTCTTGATTGAATCATGTCCAAATAGCCTTAAATTATTCATTTGCATCAAATAAAAAGCCAGAACGTCTACACATAAGTACAAATGTGGACACAAATGGGTAGTGAATATTCATGCGTTCTGTGAAAAGCAGCCTTAAATGATGAGAATAAATTCGACATCTGATAATCAAGCATATTTATACGCAGATCACAAGTATTTTAGGATAATGTTACAGCTTTGCTGATCACAACTGTAGTGATTTCAGGATAAATACGTTTACTTTTAATTAATCTATTACTGAATCTTGTACAATATATAATATTTTATACAAATGATATGTTGAATAAGAAATTTTCTGGTGTGACCAAACGTAACAAAGTGCCATATATTCACAATTATGTGAAAATACATCACAATACAAATATATATATATATATATATATATATATATATATATATATATATATATATATATATTAGATAAGTGGCTTGCATTTTCTGTTATAGAGATTATACTGTTTTTCGTTCGTCTTAGGGATATTCATAATAAAATTGAAAAAAACATTGTTCAGATTCAGATTTTAAACTAGTCTGTATGGTAGATTTTTTTATTAATGTTTAGTTCAAAGTACAATAGTTTAGAGTCTATTTAAGCTATTGTGCCTTATTGATGTGGAATTAACATTTCACTTAAAAAAATGTAATTGGTTCGAACAGATAACTCCAAGCCCACTTGTCATTAACAATGAAAAATTTTTTATATTCATCTATAACGGTATGATTAAAATATTTATTTGTTTTGCATAGTTAGTGAAAATTCATTTCTCTAGTGATTCGTTTTTTTATGCGGCATGACAAGAGTTATACATGAATATCATCAAAGGCTTATATTTCGGTTATTTGGTTGTTTATTCTACTAAGATAATTCTCTAAAAAATTTGAAGATTAACTGAGTCTATTAGATAACAGATTACATTCTTCACAATGTGAAACCTTAAAAAAACCCGATTGTTACCCTATGAAGAACTATTTACTGATTGAAGTTCTTTCAAAAAATAATCACATTCACTTAACAACTATTTTAGAATTACTTTAACCCGATTATTAAAAACAAGGGATCTTTTAAAAATGAATGCCAAACAAATACATAACAACCATAATATTCTGACAGAAATTGGGCACCGAGTATAGAGAAGTCATTATATATGAAAATTATATTTGAAATGATCTGAGTAATTGAAATTTAAAATAATTCCAATGTTTCGTCTAGCTAACTTGTCTGAACTTTTTGGATTATTACCCTGGAGAAGTTCAGACAAGTTGGCTGAACGAAACGTTGGAATTATTTTAAATTTCAATTGCTGAAATTATTTCAGATATAATTGTCACAATATAAGCACAATATTTGTTGTCTTCTATAGATTAACCATTATAACATTAAATAATAGTTTATTTAACTAAAATTATCAAAGTATTACAATCATTTTCAAAGATGTACATTTTAATAATTATAGTAAATATGATCATTTTATATTTAGTTCATTCATAACAATCTATAGTATTGAGATATTTTATTTAGTATCAGAAGGGGTTTTGTGGAGATTGTAGTAATCTCAGTAATTGAGATCATGAGTCAATTAAAGCTAAACCACCATAGAAAACCTGGAAGCACTGGACAGCCGTTTCGTATTATTGTGAAACTCGTCAGCAGTGCACATCCACGACCCCTATTAAATTACCTATTAAATATTCCATATATTCTTATCATTGAAATATTGTTTAGCAATAGTATTTAAGATTTAAAGCAAAATTTTTTTGCTTTAATTTAAAAAAAAGGGATTGTTTATTTATTCAATAAAACCTTTTTTTTTCTTTCAAACATTAAACTGATACACCTTAGTGACATATGTTGTTTAATCAAAATAATATAGACTGTCATTATTATTTTTTCTTTATTTCTTATTTAACTTGTTATCCATGAATAACTAAGCATTAATTCAATAAATAAATTTCATGTCTATATTAATAGTTGTATCTAACTAAGTTAATAATTCTTTTCTGTTATTATTTTATTCTTAAATTATTTCTCATTATTCATGATTTTCAATTTCTTACATTATTATCCAATGATTATTATTATTGATAATCTTAATTCATGTAAAACACGAATTTTATTATTATTAATATTGAAAATTTTATTTGGTATATGCGTGTGGTAGTTGTATGTGTGTGTGTATGCGTATATATATATATATATATATATTTGTTTAAATATCCCTTCACCCAATATCTTCTTATTTCATATATCTCAGTAAATTTTCAGTAGTTTTAAGGAACAGAGAAGAAACAACAACAACAACAACGATAATAATAATCATGTCAAACGATATCATTAATTAAATTTATTTCTGAAGATGGCATTCTGTCTTGACTTATATATATATGTATATACTGAGAGAGAGAGAGAGAGGAAGAGTTATATAGTTCATTTGATCATTGATAATATAATAATTATTATTACAATAAAACATTTTTTGATAGAATTTTCTTTCATTTTTCTTGATATAGTCAAGATAAATTCATCATTATCCTTGATAATGTGCACGTATTCTTGTCTCAATTTGTATGTAGTTTCTTTTTATTTTTTACTTATTTCATTTCAACTTATTAAAAAAAAACCCAACACGATAGCACTGGTAATCATAAATTTGTTTTCTTTCTTTTTTCTGTTCAAATTTGATATACGAAATTATTTATATACACATTCACAAGCCGAGATATATGAAGAAATAGACTTGCGTTTATTTTTCATTCATTTTTTAAGGAAAAAAATAAATGCGTTAATATTCTTAGAACAACACAGACTGGCAGGCAAATAATGTAAAGATATTATACTATGTCATACTTTAAAAAAAAAGATTATTTTTACGATACGGACAAATGCAATTTTATTTGTGGAACTTAGTATCAATTTTGTGTGTGTATGTGAGAGAGAAAACAGGATAAATAGTACTTCACTGTTTGTATAAAGTTGTATAGGTTGATTAATACACGGATCCAAAGGACAACATGATTCCTAATCAAACATGTATGGTGTTTGAATGAGCCGAGGTAATTTCAAAGAAAGAAAAAGTGATAGAACGTGTAATAATAATAATAATAATAGTGGTGTCAACATTTACAGTAAGAAATATAACACGCAATATTGTGATGAAGACAATTTACTTGTTTCTTTAACAGAAGACTACATACAACACATAATGACAATAGAAAGAAGTATAAAATGAAAAAAGAGTTCATTGTTTTTACCAAGTGAAATTTACTAAAACAGATACATCTATTAACATGCAAGTATATCTCTAGGTGAAATATTCTACGGAATGATATTAACAGTGACATTTATAAAAAAATTAAAATAAATAGTGATTAATAGATAAGATTGTTATTGAGTAATTTTAATTTATGACTGGACTAAGATACTACTCATCATATCTGTATATTGACTAGTTTTTATCGTGAAAATAACGCTTAAGTTGATTACATGACTAGACTGAGTGTTTGGTTAGTGGGATATAATATATCCCTTATTTAAAAAGCAGTTATTTATTAAGCTCAATGTAATATTGGCATTTAAACTAAACAGTTTATCTTCCATATTTGTAAAACACTAATTCCATATGACTATATTTTACCATAATTCTTATAACGCAAGCTTTGTAAATTCATAAGAGTACATTATTTGAAGTATATTCGGAGTTATTTTATAATGACATTATTTAAATCAAATATCAGGAAGTTTGGAAATTAGGCGGAAATAGTGTTTATTTCACATTACGAAAAAACACAACTTTTCCAGTTGACTACAAAAATTACTTATAGATTTACTAAAAATTCGATTACATAATGACTAGAAGAAATAAAAAATGAGCCAAGAAAATGAATTCGCATATCAAAGTGAAACAAACTCATGGATGTAATTATTGAGATTTGGTCGATAATTTTGGTTAAAATCAGTCACATCGGCAATTAAACCAATACTTTTCATCTAATAAACAAGTGAACTTAATAGTTAGAAAAAGTTATTGTAACATAATGTTTGATTTTATTTTGTATCTAATGTTTGAAGACGATTTACAAAAATATTCTGAATCCTTATTTCCATGATATTTGTTCAGCAAGACATAGGTATTATATTAGGCTTTGACTTATATGTTGTGAACTAATGTGTGTTTGAACTAAGTGACTTCTTCAAACGCCTATCATTTTAAATATAATTAATTCTCTAGAATCATGATAAGTAATAGTTTATTTTTGAGATTAAGTAACCTCTTGTCTTGTAACAATGACATCAATAGTTTTTTCTTATTCTTTTTCAATATAGAGTCAAATATTACTATCTGAAGCTCATCCAAATGTGAAATTATCCAAAGATATATTTTATAGTTTAATTGTAAAATCATCTGGAAGTGCTACGAGATTAATCAGATTACTGATGAAAAGTTTTTTTACACAAGATGAATTGGCTGCTTCATCATTATCTGGTGAAGGTATTTATAAACAGCGCCTAGAACCAAGTGTTACGGAAGCAATTAAAAGTAAGTAAACTATCCATTCCTTTCTTATGAATAATAAAAATTATATTTATGATCAAATTTACTACAATTTTCTAGCTAATACAACCCAAGGAAGCTGATTTCGTCAAATTCCTGTTACTTTTTGTTTCAAAAACGACCCTTTCCTATTTTCTGAACTATGAAATTTACATGAAATCATAATGTTTGGGATATACTATTAACAGAAATTTCACCAGCAGCTGAATCATTTGGAGAAGACTTTTGTAAACAATCAAACTGGTTACAGTTGAACGAACTTATATTGAGAAAATATAAGTAACTCAAAGACGGGATCTAATAAAACTAAATTAGTCAATACTTTATATCATAAAATGAAGTACTAGGCCTATTTTTCAAATAAAATATATTAAAAATAATTGTTAGTCAGGTTAAGACAAGTCAACCCTCCTAAATGAATTCTTACTTCGTCACTTAGTTTAAACGGACAATAAATTACTTTAAAATCAAAGCAATATTTTCAGTAGTTTTTCTTCGGTTCTTCCATAGTATAAATATTTTTTGATTCCATTCTGTTTCTAAGGTCAGTGTAATTAGAAGATTATCTATGTGTTCTTAAACCATCTTATTTTATACAGGTTCGTCAATAGTAAACAATAAGATTGCTTGAATGAATACTTATTGTAAAAACTATAAATTAACCAGAATCTTGAAATGAGAGTAATTCTAGTCCATTTAAATGATATCAATTAAGGTAAACTTTCATGAAAATTACCATCTTCGTTTTGAGTTAGTATTCAGAAAATCTCCCACTAATGTACTTTGTGCAAGACATAAAGACAATCCATTTCACTAAAAATTAGCTAGAAACATGATATCATTGAAATTATGAACCGATCTAAGTTAGACCACCGTGTAAAATCTTAAAGCGCTAGATGGTTGTTCCGTTCTATTATGGAACTGCTCAGCAGCACGTAATCATGATTCCTCATTCAGGTCTCCAACTTAGCACCTTAGGTTTCGTGCGCAAATACTTAACCTCTAGGCTGATGAACCTGCATCCAACAGTGCTAATCTTTAACTTCAATCAATCCACAACGTTGTATGATCATCTTTCATTGCCTTCGGTAGGTAACTACCCCACACTTGAAACAGATTAGCTCCCCTGGTGGTGCAATGTCGTGAATTGATTGAGGTTAAACATTAATACAATCGGATTCCAGCTCATTGGTCTAGAGGTTAAGGGTTTGCGCGCGACATCGAAGGTGCTGAGTTGGAGTCATGTATGCCAAATTATATCTATGCACTGATGGGGAGTCCCATACTAAGAACAAAACGGTCGTTTAGTGGTTCCAGGTATTCAGTAGTGGTCTAACATAGATTGGTTTACGAGTTAAATGAAATTCAATAATCTTCATTGCCACCATACTAAAAACATAATAGTTGGTAATAAGTCAAATACAACTAATCAGAAAACCTGTATATGTTAATATTACTTTTAAATGTTTTATGAATGTATATTTTCAAGATGTGCTTAGAGTTTATTCCTCCTACATTCACATTGAAACATTTTATTGATCCATTATTTGAAAAGTGGTTATTTTCTCCTTCATAATTATCATTTAGGAATTGTAGTTTAGCAGTCAAGACAACTATCGTAATCTAAAACAATTAAATAACAAAAAGAAGTTTGTATTCTGTATGTAAATAAATAATAACTATTGAAATTAACTTCTTTCAGTTTCTCTTTCCCATCATTTTCCCATCAATTTATTTTGATTCTAAATAATGACAACAAAATATGATACAATCCATCAAAAAAAACAAAAACAAATTAGTTATTCTGTCCTTATGATTATTTCGTACAGAACAACCTATAAAACCATTTTTAAATGGTTAGTTAGAATGAAAGATTAAAAGTACACTTTACAATCTCTTTTTTTCACTATCCTCTTTAAGTTCATTAATAAATGTAGTTTTATTAACAGCATGATTAAATATGTAATTATATATATATATGATTATTATACTAGTAATATCAGTAATAGTCGTTGGTGATTGTTAGTTTCTTATTAATAGTCATAAGGTTTTTTATTCTTAGTCCTCTCTCATTTATTTCTCTTTTATGTGACAATATCTTACTTTACTTAGAAAATAATACTAAATAACTATACTTTTAATATGTACGTGTGTATGTAAATTTTGAGTTGCTTTTTGTTGTTGTTAAAAAATTGTTTTGATGCACTTGAAAAGAAAATGATTATTTGTCCTTAACGTTATGTAATAATTATTTGATTCCTATCATTTGAAACTCATGGTTATTTACTAGTTTAGTTAGATTTTGCACTGGATGAATTTCTCACTAATAACTTATTATCAACCATCTTAAATAGTTATTGCATAGATCTCACTATATCAACAATAACCATATGCTAACTAGTGATTAACTTCAAAATCCAATTAATAGAGTTTTAATGAGAAGTTGCAATCAGTGGAATTCATCTGTCTAGTGTGAGACAATTATTCATCGCAGACAATAGACGAAGGTTACGCAATATTGTGGATCGATTTAGACTAAGCATTAACACAATTGGATGCCGATTCAGTGGTTTGGAGTTTAGTCATTTGTGTTCGACTATTAATCATAGGCTCGTGAATACACAGTACTACGGAGTCCAAGAACAGAGCGAAATCGCCGTGCAGTGCTTACAAATTTTCAATAGTGGTTTAGCTAAGATCGGTTTGTGATTTAATTTATGATAATTAAATTATCTCCACAAATCCTTCTATACCATAAAATAATATACATCTATGTATAGTAACCGTCCATATTAAGACGGCATGAGCTTTTTCGCGAATTTAATTGTAATTTTCTGGTTAATGGTTAATAGGCATTTATTCACTAGTTGTACAGTATATTCCGTTTTCATCATTACCCTAGGTATTTTTGCTGAATCCAGTTGTCATCAGGGGCTTATATCATGTAAGATAATGCAGAAGTCCAGACATTATAGGACGGCTATCTTCTGTTAAAAATTGAGTTTCTAGTGCTTTGAGCAACCATGAACAGACAGAGAATCTTGAGAAAAGTTCAATACTATTTAGCCACTAAAACAACTTCACTCTATTTCTTAATGTGACTAACAATAAACAAGTCCGTATTTTCGATATAATAAAACTCAGTGGGGACAAATATAGCACAAGATGTTTGTCTACCAGCCAAATGGGATGTATGCTTGACAGCAGTCTGTCCTCTATAGCTTTGTGGGTGTGAAACGTAGAATACGAAAGTAAATAAAACACTTAGACTGCAAGTTCTTAATAATAGCGATTTTCGAAATATTACTCGTTTTTCGTGGAACGACAAAGTGTTCAATGTTGAGGTTAGGGATAGGATACTAGGAGGTGTCGGATTGGTTGATGTGGTTATGAGCTTTAATTAACTGAGGTGTTTATGACACTTGTTACTAAAGCCGAATAACACTCGTGACAGGCGATGTCTGCCGGAATAGAATTAGGCTAAACGAAACCTAGCAGAGTCCGAATCAAGACATATCACAGCTTCATGAAGTCACTGAGCATGGGTTTGAGCTATATAAACAGATTCGAACTACAATCACTGCCTGAAAATATTAGGTGAAGTGGCTCAGAATCGTCCATAGTGGGGTAGACTCGTTCAATTATTATCTTTTTCTCAATGTTACATTCCAGCATTTTCTCACATACATCTTTCAACTTCGTCTTTTAGAAAAACATAAATATTTAGTCTTTCTCATCATTCTTGTTACTATATTATTTCAATCAACTTGTTATTTTTATTTGGTTATACTAATCCAGTGTAGTAAACTGTACTAATATAAATACCTATTCCAGGCTCTACTTTGATTATGATTGTCTGACAAACTAAATGAATGCCAATTTTGTCATTCTGACTATAGTCTACTTACTGTTTTATGGTGCACACCAAGACTCGTAATATTGTAGTTGTCACTAATGCCTCTTTTTTCTTGATATTTCTTGTCAAACTTATATTTTCACTTAATTTTATCTTTTCAACCTATATTTTTAAAGATATATAATCATTTCAGATTACGTCACATTACACCGGGCTTAACAATGTTCCAGACTCTTTATAGACTCATACAAACTACTGTTTATTAATCAATATGTTTTTAGTTCATTTAACCTAATAACAATAGTTAGACTTTTCATGATAATATCATTTATTATAAATGTGTTCTTAAACAAGTTACAAATAAATCATGAATACTGTCAGTTTATTGATAAGGAATTTGATTATGGCGGTAAAATTGAAATACTCTAATGAGTTTGTTCACATGCAATTATATATACCGTGAAATTTTATCCATTGAACTTCTCATTATTATTTTTATTAAACACACATACATCGGTATTTGTAAAATTAAAGCACCTACTTTCTTGGTTGTTTCATTAAAAAAACAATAACAAGAACAACTTTTAATACTGTTTATTCCATATTAGGTTATTACATTTAACAAGGGTAATTTTTAAAGTCAGATTATTGTATTGATAGCATTTTTGTAAGCAGATTTATTATGAAAGTTCAGTCTAAACTATACTCATTAAATTAGGTATGTTATTTCATTTCAATCAAATCGGAAGGATTTCTATCAGAATATGTTTTTTGTTTGTTTGTTTGTAAACAATGTATTTTTATTTACCAAAATGTGTTTATCTCATTATTATGTTAACTTAATTACAAATTACTTGTGTCTGTATTTAAGAATGAGATAAAGATTATCTGTTTAGTTTTTAGTCACAACAATCTAGATTATGACAGTCATTGTAAAAACATTGGAAACATTTAAGTTGGTTTCATTTTATTGATTTGATCATGTCGGATATCTTTAAACTATTGTATAGTAAAATAAATTTGCTTTGTTGTAATGATTTTCTAAGTGTAACAAACAATATTTGTTATCTAATAAGACTGGTTATTATCGAGTCAAATTCGTGAGTCAATTAAAGCTAGACCACTATGGAAAACCTGGAAGCACTGGACAACCGTTTCGTTCCAGTATGAGACTCCTCAGCAGTGCGCATCCACAATCTCGCCTACTGGATTCGAAACCTTCGGTCTGTTAATCCCCAACAATCTTCACAACCCTATACTGATAATTATCATGTGCTCACTAGTGACTAGTTTTGGGAAGTAATTCTCGGAGTTCCGATGAGAAGCCGTGACCAGTAAAGTTCAACCGTGTCGGGTGTAAGACAATTACTCACCAAAGAAAATTGAAGATGGTCGCGACATTTCATGGATTGCTTGAAGTGAAAGGTTAATGCCGTTGGATGCCGTCTCTGCAATATAGATGTTAAGCGCTTACGTGCAAGAGAGAAAGTCCTGGGTTTGAATCCAGTGAACAAACTCGTGGATGCACACTGCTTAAGAGTCCCGTACTATGACGAAACGATCGCTCAGTGCTTTTAGGTTTTCCTTGGTCGTCTAGCTTTGATTAACTTATGAATTCAACTAATAAGTTAATTTTAGACATATTATGATTATGCAACAACTGTTCATGCACTTGGTATTGTTTAATAGTTGTTAATTCTAACATCCATTGAGTTGTTGAAAGTTTTTATTTGCTATGAATATTACATTGGCCGAACAAAAAGTAAGGCATGTCTCAGATTTTTTGAACATGTTCCATAAAGCTTCAGAACGAGAGAAAGAAAAACTCTAAATAGTGCAATCACCAAACATCCCTTTGATACAGGACATCAGGTCGATATCCTACAATCATTCAAGGTGATTAGTAAGCAGTCAAACTTTAGTCTTGCGAAGTTTGCTGAAGCAGTTGCTATCAGACGCTAAAAACTGATTTATGTGTTCAAAAGGAGATAGTTATTATTCTTTCCTTACCTTGGTGACTAATATCCCTTCGCTGTATCTTAATATTTTTTTCTTTTTCTTTAAACTCTTTCTTGCACTTATCACATAACTGAGTTTTATCCCAACTACATCCAAAATTATTAATCTTGTTTTATGAACTGAACTCTTTTTATTTTATTCCTATCAGTGATTACTTGTTACTAGTCATTTGAACTATTGTCATAATTTTCTTTTACATAAGGTATATATTTACAATATTCAGTCTATTAGATTTATTTACACCTTTGTTATACAATACGAATATGTTTTCAATATAATTTCCAATCAAACTCTTCCATGTAGGTAATTCAAACCCATTATGTAATTATGATGTTTAAATATCACAGGTTGTAAGCAGCTGACGCGAACGAACGAAATAAAAATGAATTCATGCTATTCTTTTAGAATGTTTGTTCTTGCTCTTTCCAAAATGACAAACGTAACTATGTGTATGAAATTGAGTTATTAGTCAACTTTATATGGTTTATACATAGGTTAGTTTAATAAAATATATGATTGTACAGTTAACCACGTGGATAATATTTATGAGTAAAACGCCAATTCTTTGTTTTAAAAAGGATGAATAACCTATAATATTTTAAGTTTCAGCTTCATTGAACAATTAGTTTATACGTCAGATGGTATTTAATTCTCATCCATTTATTTTTCTATAATTTAAAGTAAAAAAAATAAAAGAAGAATTATAATGAAGAAAAAAAACCCAAATATTGAACATTCTGGAAGTTATACTATGAAATTAGAATATTCTTTCTTAGCTTAAACAAAACAATAATGAAATCAGTTGTAAATTTTGCATGTATAATACACTAAATAAATGTTATGAAATTCTTAATGTAATAGCATTTTCTGTATTGATTTGGTATTTAAAGTATTTACCTGAAATCCCTTTTGTATATGTTATAGTTGATCAGATTTATGGAGAGTTAGAACAAAATATTAAATTAACTCATTAGTCATTTACAATTATAAACATAAGAAGCATTTTGTTTTAATACCACGTATTGTCATTAATTCTTGGAATATGAAATTGTTTGTTGTGCGGTTCAAGTTTGATATCTTTTATAACCTTTTAACATTTAGTTACATACATAATTATTTCGAGAGTTATCGCAGTTTTAATAAAAGAGAAGAACTTTAATTTCTAGTCAAGAGCATACAGTACTTGCAAGTAGTTTGAAGGAGTGTATGGTAAATTCAACAATTTTTTTCCTCAACTTAATCATTTAATAACAATAGCCTATATCAAGATGATAAAGAAGATTTGTGGCTTACAAGAAGAGTTTTTATTATTTTGCGTTCTATAAAATGGCTACATCTATTAAACTAATCAACTAACATAATTCAATGTATTTTTGTGATAGTAGACACTAATTTATAGGCATTATTTGTCATAAAATATCATCCTATACGAGAATATTAACTGTTATTCATTTCTATCCTTTAAATCTTATTTAAACATGAGTTAGTGTTAATTTAACTAATAATAATAACGTTCTTAATTGTTTTAATATTTCCTGTTGTTACTACACTTTTACATCAATTTGTACTCAGTTATACTAGAAAATATAAACCATTTTCATTTGGTATTGTTTGGCTTGTATCTTCCCACTGAGGTTTAAGACTGCAATTGATCAGTCTGTTATTAGCATATGTGCATACTGTGCGTATGCCTCGATAGTGCCTTAATTCACAAGCTTTTTGAAAATAATGATGGAAAGTGACTAGCAGTGGAATTCAGGACTCGAGTTTCAATGTTTATTTTACCTCTTTATTGTTATAAAAATGAGGATTTCTAATTTTTGTATTATAATTGAAACATTTAAAATATTAATAGTGAATGCTCAAAAAATAGTTCAGATCTAATCACACTTATGTAAATTTATTTCGTTTTCTTTTTCCACTTTTTATATCCATCTGTATAGTGATTATACAGGACAAATTTAAAAATCTCATTTATAACTGTATTCTTAGTGTTTTTGTTAATTAACATTCCGGAAGTCTCTTTCATAATACCATATCGTTTTTTTTATGAACAGAAAGATAAATTAATTTTCTCTACCAAAGATGAATTTATATAGAAAAAAGAAAAGTCTTAATGGTTTTTCGAAAAATAAAACAGAAAGAAATTATCTACATAAGCCGATATACACAATATACCATTGTTTATACAGTCTCACTACCCCCCTTCCTCCTCTTTTTATTTTTCATTTTTAAACAAACATAAACACAGAAACAATGACAAAACAGTAACAGAATAAAATTTTTTTTACAAGAATAAAGAACACGCACAATTTGAATAATCATTAAAATTACATGAGATTTCCATCTCACTTCTTTACATCCGTAAATTTCTTTCATTTCCTGTAAAATTAAAAAAAAAACACACAACAACAACAACAACTGGATAATAGAACCAATTAAGCTATCTTCATTTAAAAACTATTTAAACACAAATAAATTTAACTTTTTAGTGTAGTTCTATTTTTGTTATTCCCTTTTTTTTCATTTTTCTTCGTTTTTCTTTCTTTTTTTGCATTTTATACTTTTCATATCATGGCTATTTTTTCATTGATGATGAATTAAACCATTTGGCTCAATGATATAGTTTCGTTTGGTATAATGATAAATTATAAAATTTATAATAAGAAATATTGTATATAATTTGAAATGAAGATGATTGTGATATTGTTTAATTTATCTGAATAGTCATAGAGAACTTTCTTATTTCATCATTAAACAGTAATTACTATTATTGATAAATATTATATAACAAAAAATTATGAAATGGTCTAACGTTTGATTTTATTTGTGATATGTTTACTTTTTTCAAATAAAAGATGTTTTGTCATTATCCCTATTTATAAGTGATTGATAATGCTAAATAGTCAACCATCAAACTTTGTTTGTACTAAATGAACACAGAGTTCAGATAAATACTTGAATGTTTTTTGAAAGTTGCAGAGTTTCAAATAGTCGAATAAGTAAGACAAGAAATGAATTTGTGTCAATACTTTTTTTTCAGGTTGAATTAATAAAGTGCAAGGTAGTATTGTAGTGTGTGCCACTTATATTGACATAAGTAGTTTATGATGCTAGTCAGGGACAGAATGTCTGGCAACAGAGAGACAAGAGGATCGGAGAGTAAAGAATGGAAACAGAATTCAATTTGTATGAAAATGCAAGAACAATGAAGTCTGGGGCACTTTGAGACAATTTATGGTCATTTCGCAAACTGAGCCTTTACTATATGGTTGTCAGATTTTATTAACAAGTCCAGTCGCATTCCATCTTTTCTGTATGCAATGTTTACAAGTGATAATAAAACTTAGTGATAAATGTTTTATTTTTATTTATCTTTAGTATTTATACGTCAAAGACATCCACAATTAAAAACTGGATCAATTAATTTATGTATGACAGATGTATGTGTTCAAGCTAGGAGAGTTGCTAATAATCAAAGAAGTCGACAACATCCTTTAAGAAATTCACCAATTATGCAAGAATCTTTAAAATCACATAGAAATTGTACAAATGATCAAGAAGAATGTGATAATCTATTAGGACTTAAAAGTCGAACAAATAATTCAATTCGTTTAAATTCAACTGGAAAATTGCAAAAACATAATCGTGATATTGTAACAACAACAACAACTACTACTAATTCTACTCCACCTACAACAAATTCTCTAACAAATGAATATGATTCTAATTATTGTATAGAAATGTCAAAATCTGAAATTAATGATACACATTTTTCAGAATCAGAAAATGATGAACCTATTTTACAAATAGTTGATGAACGAAATGAAATCGCTTCAGATAATGTTGGTACACCAGCATCGTGTTCAGTTAATTCTTTTATGTCAGATCAAAAATAAAATTGAATATTAAATTTTTAAAAAAGAAGAAAATAATGATAAAAAAATAAACAAAAAAAAATACAAAAATTAACTGGTAAACTATTTATAATCTATTGCAGGCTGTGCATGTTTCTCACCATCTCTATACTTTATTAAATCCTCTTTTTAATTTTGTTAATTTATTGCATACATAATTGTGAATATACAATATGTTTTCTTTTTCTTTTGTTTGTTACCATTTTCACCATAATAGTTACTAAATGATAATCGATAGTAATCAAAATAAAACAAATCAAATTTATATTGGATTCAAATGAACTAATCATGTCAAATCGTCTTTTCTCTCCCTCCCCCACCCTCTCTCTTTAATGAAAACTAATAAAACTTTGTGTGTGATATAAGTCATTAGGTTCTATTAGTTTAGTTTACAGCATATTTATATTGAATTTCTTTCACATTATTGCAGCATGACATGTTTAGTTCTTTATCTTTGTCTTTCTTATATTTTTCAGATCATCTTCAATTAATCTTATTGGCTTTTATCATCGTTTTTTCTCGATTTTAGCACTACTACTATTGTCTTTTGTATTTCAGTCAATTTATCTATTGTGTGTTATTCTGTCTTTTTTTTAGAAGTAAGGCAGCTTTGGTTAGCAAGTATATTTTATGTTGTGTTTTTTCTTAAAAGAGCAACATTTCTGTTGATATTCTTACTTGCCACTTCTTCAATTTGTTCTTCTCTTTAGTCCAATGTAAAAGGTTGCCTTTTATTTTCAAATTGAATTTTATTTTTCAATCCCTTTCAGTAAGAACTTTTTTCTCATTTTTGAATAAAACTGAAGTCATATAGAAAAATATAATAGAAAAAACCGTTTTAAAAAACAATATATAACTAACCATAATACTTAGTTTGAATTGATTCTGTTGAACTAAACACTCTTTCTTTTTTCAAAAACAATCTATCAGTGAACATACTTTATAACTATTGAGAACGTTTAGAAGAGAAATTGCATATTAATTACGATTGATAGTGCTTCCGGGATGTTAACTTATTTCAATATCCTTACAAAGTTTTATGAATTATGTTTGACTTCTTAAAACTTTCAATAACACATTTAATTTATTCTATATGGTTTATTTATAAAATAAGTAGTATTATTACTTATAATAATAGACCATATATGTAACATTAATAGAGAATTAACGGATTATATAATGAATTCACAATAATATAAGACTATTTGATGATAACTTATTCTCTTATTGTGACATCTAAATATTCTTAGTATTCTATCTTGTTTTTATTTTTAAAATGAATTACCATTCCAAATGTAGTTGATTGTTTGTTTGTTCTTTTTTTTCTTTCTTTCTATCCATAACCGAAACTATTCCATTTCATTGTAATTTTGTGAACATATACATATAAGTATAAATGCATTAGTTTCATTTGACTGTGTTCATTGTCTTTATGAATAATTTTAATTATGCTTACTGTGATGAATAATTGTTGCTGTAATTTTATTTTAGTTTCAATTTCAATCTTTTACATTTTTAAAAATTTTATTATCAATCAAATTTATGAATGATTAAATAAAGAAAGCATGAAGTATTATAAATGATTTACTTATTGAATCAATTATGGTTATTCCTTATTTTCGTTCTTTTTTTTGGTGAAAAGAAAAAGAAAAGAAAAAAGAAAATAGTAATACAACGTAATATTCCAACAGCCACTTTTTTTTCTTCTTTTTCTATGAATATTGTGATATAGACATGACATTTTCTCATCTTATAATGTACATCATTTTCTTTTAATGTACCTTTCTTCGTTGGTTTTCTTTTATTATTCATTAAATATTTATCATTGAAAACGAAAGAACAGAATTGTCGATCAAATTAATACATCAATAGTCTTTGTATTAATTAAAAGTAAAATGGTTTAAATTTAATCACCAAAACAAAAATTACAGTAAAGCATCATTCTTGATTTTATTGTCAAGAATAAAAGGAAAATAAAACCCCAGAGATATTAAACAATGACAATAACAATAGTAATAATAATAATAATAATGATAAAAACATTATCATAATTTTCATTTTCATTATCAGCAGCACAAACATTACAATATAGAATTATAATTATTATTAATGAATAGTACAATTATTCTGCAGAGATTTACTATTTACTCAATCAATTTTAACCTGTAACAAATGAATAAATAATGGACAATCAATCACAATTACTCTTCATCTCTCTCTCTCTCTCTCCCTCCTCTTCTATTTGACACAATCATTTTTCATTACTAACTCAGAACTTTGATAAGAAATAAAAAATAAAAAAAACGAACATTAAAGAGATAATTAGTTTTTAGTTGTGATATATATATATATATATACATATTTGTATAGGATTATCTATGAATAAAAATGAATAATAAATAAAGAGAATATTTGTATTTGAATATGGTTTGTTTATTTTATTAAAAGATTAATTAAATATTTACAATTAGATCAATAGTTTATTAAGTTTGAACGGTATAAAATTTTAAAAAAAATTCTAGTTATGATTCTATTTACAAAAGATTCCATTTGACATTACCTTAAATTATTTATTCTATATGAGTTACTAACTTATCATAATATCAGTATAGAGGTTATGGAGATTAATAATTTCTTTGATTGAGATGATGAACCAATTTATGTTAGACCACCGTTTGAAACCTGGAAGCACTAGACGGCCGATTCGTTCTATTGTGGGACTCCTCAGCAGTGCGCATACACGATTCCACTTGCGGAATAATATGTTAATAATATGATATGTTGTAAGATAGTAATCTAGTATGACTATAATTATTGGTACAATAATAAATATTTAACTAGAAAGTTAAAGTTGATTTAATAATTTGTGTTATTTATTGTTTGAATTGATAATTTACTTATTTTGACATCCAGTGTAAGTTATTTGAAATAGTGCATGTACCATATCTATCTATCTTGCTTACTTACTTACTAACTTATGCCTGTTACCCTTCGTAGAGAAGAATAGGCTGCCCACCAGCACTCTCTATCCAACCTTGTCCTGGAAAATCCTCTATAGTTGTTTCATATCTTCTATTTTTCGGCATTGTGTGTTTTTCGACCTTCCTCTTTTCCGTTTCCTTTCAAGATTCCAAGTCACGGCTTGCCTCGTGATATATATATATATATATATATATATATATATATATATATATATATATAATGTGATTCTAAGAGGAAATATGATGAAAGTTTTTTCATTGACGGTAAACAATAAAGTTAGGGAGCACTGTTTATTTAGTGTCATCGACATTTTATATTAGGAAATCTTTCACGTGAGGATAAATATTTTCATTCTAAGATTTTGTTTTGCAACCAGAATATTAATTTCTACATATCAGTGAAACAAAATTTTAAATAATTAGAACTTAAGATCATAATGAATACGATGGAAGAATGGGAAAAGTTCAATGATTTGTTAAAATGAAATATTTCCTGAAGTTTTCTTTTAAAATATATACATATCTTCATTAACATCTAATTATTTGATCATAAATATCCATTATACTACGCTTCACAAAGTTACAATACATTGTTCATGACTTCAGAGCTTTTATGCAAAAAGTACTTTTTTGGGAATATGTAAATCAATACTTTCGTGTAGAAATATGACATTTTTTTTATTATCTAGATGTCATGTATTTGTTAAACGAAGTTATTTGAAATGAACTGGAAACAATCTGATACTCATGCTAAATTAAAAGAATAGAGTATACCACATGCAATTCATTCAGACTGAGAAGTTTTCACATACTTATTTGCCTTATCATATTTATAATAAGGCGTCTTTAGAAAATTTGTATCAAGGATTGAAATATCCTTCTTGGCGTTTAGTTTTAGCCTTGACCTCAGGTTTATATGATTGATATAATTATTATGAATTTTAACATTTTGATAGTTTTCACAAATGTTATCACTATTGTACATTATCGTCAATTAATCGGACTACTAGTTAGTAGATCCATCAAATCATCAACACAATTAGGAAATCGTCAACAAAAGAATGTTAATTATTTTGTCTTAAGTATTCAAAATAATCAAATTCTGCACTAATCTTAAATGGAAATGTTTATAAGAATTAATCACTACATAACCTATACGGAAACAGTTTATGAATCTGTTAATCTAAATGCTAAAACAATTGTGACAACTTCTTAAGCAAACATGAATAGTGGCTAGCAGTGGAATACAGGAAACGCATCTCGTCCTATTTATGTCTGCATATACGAAACGCGTGTCCTGGATTCTACTGCTAGCTACTATCCATCTTTGCTTAAAAAGCTTGTGACTTCAGGCTATATCGAGGCATGAGACTGGTCAATTTAAGTTCTAAATAACAATGGGAAGATACAAGTAAAACAACAAGTGAATTTAATTATGACAACTGTTTTCTAAGGATTAATTTATAATCTTTGGTATCATCTTTGTTTGATTATCAACTAGTTGAAAAAAAACATAGTGTCCTATGCATATTCATATTGTAATCTTGATCTTTAAAAAACTTTGTTAAACGACAAAACGTCCATCCATATTATGATGGACTACCAAATTTATAATTAATTATAAATAGGCCTATACAAATTAATAATATGTTCTGTTATAATATCTTCCTTTTATTGGATAAAATACGACCTATTCCAGCATATTATCAAAAAGTATCTTGAAATTCCAGTAAAACCTATAGCTTTTACTGTCATTTTCGATGGTGGTAACATACGAATGTTAAAAATCGATAATGTTCTTAGGATTTGGGTGACTACAGGAATTATTAATGAAATTATCATTTATAATAGCTATTCATCCATCAGAACTATCACTAAACACTAAATTTAAGGATACTTCAACAAAAGTAAGTAAGTTCAACGCCAAGATCCGTTTGGTAAACTTGGTTCGCTAGACAAATGACCTTACCCTTGTATCAAGTAAGGACTTTCAATGATTCACAACAACTTTTGTATACATCTTAAATCAGCGTGCAAATAAAAGGCCATTAACTAAGCGATTACGATGAACGGAACATACATTTCAGTTACTTAGTCTTTTGAATAATTATGATTTGGTGCTTAGTCAACCGAATACGATCACTGCTATTGTCCGCTTGGACAACCCGGTCGATGCTACTAAATTATTTTCTGTGTTATCAGCAGCAGATAAATTCTTTAATGACATCAATTAAAAGAATGCAAGCAAGAAAGCCGAACAGATGTTGACAAAAAATCTGTCTGTCATCACATGTGATCCCTATGACTGCTTTAGGTCATCTAGTTCTGTTATCTTAAGACTAAACCGTCGAAATTTAATTTCGTTGATGCTTTAGTGAAAGAACGTTTTATAGCTCCGTGAAGAGATTTTTATACAGAAAATCATCATGAATGATCAGCATACGGACTTCTTAATCTGTGTTTCATTGTTCAGTAAGCGAATTTTAAATCATTCTTCGTTAATGAGGATCAGAAAAATATGTGAATATGGACGACTAGGTACTTCATCTTTGAAAAATGAACATCAGAAATGTTCATCTACTCAGATTCACTAGTGGAAATTGAACACTAGAACTACAAACGAATGACCATGGATAGTTCTATAGGAAACCGAATTTAAAGGAGATATTGCTGAATAATTTTTTAATTAGCTAATTTTTCATATCTCTGAGAAAATCCTTCTACTTAACAAAGCTTCATACTGTTTCCCTTAACTGATCTATCATTCATGAATGATAAATTTCCACCTTTGGCTACAACGATGGACATTCATAATTTTACTTACTCTTGTGGAACAGGCTTCATTAGTTGGGCAAATTAAGCATTTTATAAATGTACCTCAGAATATTACGCAGCGAGATTTTCAAAATAAGAATTTAAAACAATAATTAGCTAAAAACAGAAACATCTCATCAACTGAGGACATATTTCCCCACAGGAAAATTCTTTCAAAATAATCTAGACATTCAAATGAGTATGAAAACAGGGCCAAATAAAACTGTGATAATGATAACTAAATTTAGCTGATTAACCGTGAAGTATATTCACTAGGAGTGTTATTGCTTTATATCAGTAGAATAGTATGTCATGAAAAAAAATGAAAAAATGAAAAACCGATAATATTTCCAAGAAGGTGGTGAAATGGTAAACCGTTTCAGTTATTCGGGTAAATATTTCATACTACTCAAATATGATGAACATTTACACATTCGTTTATTATTCAGATAATATTGTATCCCCAGTGTTGTGATATCGCATAATTACTTCTATGTTATTTTAATCCTGTTTTCATTCATTTATAATGCTTAGCGTGAAATGGGGGATAAAGACCTGCTTTATAGTGTATTATTTATTTATATCTTAACATTTTCTCGTAGTCATTTCATGTTAAAAAATGATTTTGTTATCAGTCCATGTTGTTTTATGTTGTGTGTATATATGAATATAAGTGATTAAATTGTATAGTTTGATTTGTCAAAATATTTTCTCTTCTGTTACCAATACTCTATCTTCTTCGATTTTGTATACTTGGTATGTATTCGCATTCATTATTTTCAACTAACTGTATGTTGAGTACAAATGCACGGACACACATAGACACTTCGAAACATAAAATTGCACAAACATATACAATTCACTTTATTCCTTTCTCCTCATTATTTATGTGATTAATTCAAGAATGAATGATTTTTGTAGTAAATCAGTCTAATTCACTGTTTACAATAATAATTTTGACTATTGTAAAACCTAATCAAACGTTGATGTGAATAATGATGTAAATAATGATGTGGATGGTGTTTACTGAATAAACTTTCTCATCTACATCTAACTACATAAGTACACATAAAAACATTTGTGCCAAGCATTATAAGGAGCATCCTTTCCCTTAGGCTTTTATACACTAAACTAGAAATATACACAAACAGTGTAGTCATATGTAACCATACACATAAAAAGAAGCTAATTTAACCAGACTAAATAATATATTTCATGTGTTCAAACACAGAGGTAGTAGTGATGGTAGTAGCAGTAGTAGTAGTAGTAGTAGTAGTAGTAGTAGTAGTAGTAGTAGTAGTAGTAGTAGTAGTAGTAGTAGTAGTAGTAGTAGTAGTAGTAGTAGTAGTAGTAGTAGTAGTAGTAGTAGTAGTAGTAAGAGTAGCAATCTCAACATGAGTACATTCTATTATGATAGACATGACGTTGTGATTTAAGGGTAGGTGAAATGTGAATTTACAGTTAAATCTTAAGAAAATTGAAAAGAAAAATTAAGATATGTAAAAAAAATTCACAATGTGTGTATATTTGCTTGTGTGCATTTGTCTTAGTGTTTTTCTATATTTTATTCTGAAACTGAATGAATAAATAAATAGGCATAAGAATAAATGTTCATCAGTATTCCCATGGGGTCAATTTCTTTCTTTTTAAGACATTTGTAGACATAAAATGACTTCATCTACCATGCATGTATAATTTTTTTTCCTCCAACATTCTCTCCTTTCTCTTTTTATCAATTGGCTAGGGCGAGGTTTAAATAACCGATTGAGTATTAACCTAAAATGTATATCACCAATCATTATTAATCTTGTTACCTAGTATGGTAGACTGGATGAAGTTAACTGAATTTCAAGCCAAAAATGAAAATAAGGTTGGATGAATACTCAATATATATATATATATATATATATATATATATATATATATATATATATATATATATATATATATATATATCAGTGTTTTCATTTCTGGTTCCTTAATCCAAGGAATTAATTTCTTTTTAAATGCTTAATGAAACGTTAAAACAAAGCAGATATATATAAAGACATAATATCGGTTTTAAAGGTTTATGTTTTAAATAAATTAAATTTTGAAAAAAATATTCTCTTTTTTTAATTATAAAATGAAATGATTCTTGAGATTATTTCTTAGATTCAAAATGTGCATTTATGCATTCACGCGTATACATTATACATGTATACAATATGATGTAAATTACCATTACAACTGAGATCTATTAATGTCTCTTGTAGACATTGTCCATTCTTATATCATGATTAAGAAATTAACCATTCAGTACACTTAACAATTATGGGGGAAGTAAAAAATGATAAAGGTGTTCCGTTGATCTAAAAAATAAGCTTTTTACTAATGAGAATATATTTAACACTGTTTTTTTAAACAGAGGGATTTTGTGGAGACTTTAGTAATTTAATAGTTGAATTCATGAGTCAATTGAAGCTAGACCACCATGAAAGACTTGGAAGCACGGAACGGTCGTTTTGTCCTTGTAGTTTTTAACAGTTAAGCGTTCGCGCGCGAGACTGGTATGTCCTATGTTCGAATCTCACAGGGCGGGATCGCGGATACGCATTGCTGAAGAGTCTCATACTAGGACGAAATAGGCGTCCAGTACTTCCAGGTCTTCCATGGTGGTCTAGTTTCAATTGATTCATGAATTCAGCTATTAAGTTGTTATAATATCTACAAACTCCCTCTCTGAATATAATCATCATATGCTCACTAGTGACGGTCTCCAAGAGGTATTTCCTGGAGTTCTAATGAGAAGCCAAAACCAGTGGAGTCCAACCGGGTATGTTGTGAGATAGTAACTCATTGATGACAATTGTTGATGGTGTCGCAACTTTTTTAAATATTTCAAACAATCTATAACTTATAGTTATCAAATCTAAAGTTGTCATGGAAACTACAGTTAAATTTCACAATAATTTCATTTAGAAGCACATTCAATATATTTTTTGTTTAATTATACTGAAAGCATTATGTTTACTTTTACGTAATAAAGTTTGCTTATATTACTGATTATTAGCCATTTGCTTTCAAGTGAGATATTTGGTATAGTTTTATTCTTAGAGCGTTGTAGTCACGTTTGATAGGGCATAATAGGCAGTTTATACTTTGCTTTACGTTCATGAATTTCGATATATTTCCGGTAGATAGATGGGAAAAATTTTCCTATTAATTGGATTATTTGTTTATCTGATAAGGTGATACTAGCCAATTGTTTAGAACAACACAAGCGTCTGCTCATAACCATATCAATAAAAGTCAAAGACTTTACAACCAACCCCTGTGCTATTCTTTAGTGTTCTACGCAATAAAGCGCAAGTTTTTCAAAAAGCTCTTGGAAGAATAATGCGCGACAATACGGAAGAATAGATAATGTAAGTCCAAAACATATGGGAACTAGTAAATCGCTGAAGTAACCACTTTGAAAAATCTTAAAAAATACTGTAAAATCTTCATTCAGCTGTTAATTATTTCAAAATGCTTTGTTTATAATTAAAAATTTTTAAACAGCATATACAATATTTAGTTATATAAACACAATGGGCTAGAATATTATCCTAATAGTATCATTAATGGAGGTTTAACAAAATGTCTACCATGAGCAGTGATTTTAAACATTCATATAACTTGTATGTGGATTTAGATTTTCACCAATATTCAATAGTTTTTTTTCTTTATTCTACAGTCAAGTATAACCATTATCAAACTTGAAATATAGTTTGCTGATTGATGATAAAAAACGCGAGAACAGTTACGAAACGTAAATATGTCCCTTTCGTACCTAACTATAGGTGAAAATCATTTAAAATCACAAACTAAAATTGATTTTGAGAAGAGCAAGAAAAAGATTCTAGAACAATAACATGAATTCATTTTATTTCGTTAGTTCTCGTCAGCTGTTTACAACTGATGGTATTTAAAATAACATGATTACGAAATAGGTTTAAATTACTTACATGAAAGAGTTTAATTGAAAGTAATGTTTAAGATATATTAATCAAGTACAGTATGGCAAGGGTGTCAATAAATGTAACAAACTAAATATTGTAAATATATACCATATGTAAACGAACATTCTACAACGTTGATTGTGACAGCAGTTCAAATGGCTAGAAACAAGTGATTTCATAATGAGTAAACGCAGATAGAAATAAATTGAGTAAAAAATTACAGTTAATAAAATAAAATTACTAATCTAGAAGACTGTCCAAATAAAAACTCAGTGATATAATAAATGCAAGAAAGATTTCTTTAAAAAAAGATCTTAAGATGCAATGAAGGAATATTTGTCACAAAGGCAAGGAAAGGATAGCAAGTATCTCCTTTTGAAAACGTAAATCAGGTTTTTGATGCCTGACAGCATAGGCTTCAGTAAACTTCGGAAGACTGAAGTTTGGCTGCTTACTAATCACCTTGAATAATAGTAGGGTATCGAAATGATATCCTGTATCCAAGAGAGGTTTGGTAATTGCATTGTTTAAAGTAGTACTTCCTCTTATCCTAAGGATTTTTGGGACATGCTCAAAAACCTAAAATATGCCCTACTTTCTGTTCGATCAATGTAACTGATTTAGCAGGTACATGTAAATTTATAAATACAGTTGGTGGTAACATGAAAGGTGTGCCTGTCAACCTTTGATTGGGTTATTGAATACTTCATTTAACAGAAAATTAATGGTTTGGCTGCTAGGTAAGTTCTGGTTAATGGAATGTCAAGGCTACTGCTGATTGTGTTTACGACGTCATCACCTTTGAAGTTGAGATTTACAGATATTGGTATTTTATTGACTGTACTCACTTCCATGTTTATTTCTTTATCTTTTTATATTTGTCAATAAATTCTATGGGTAGCAGTTGTCTCTTAGACACTTTTCAACGTTCATCAATTCTTCGTTGCATATTCTTTCTACCCTATAAGATAGTGTTTTAACCAATGCTTTCTTCTAAGTGATTGGACAAAAACTATCGAAATTTAGATAAGATATATATTTACAATAATCAGTCTATTAAATATATTGACACCCTTACTGTACTATACTATACTAATATGTCTTCAACATTACTTCCAATTAAACTCTTTCATGTAAGTAATTTAAACCTTTTTCGTAATCATGTTATTTTAAATACCACAGGTTGTAAATAGCTGACGAGGATCGCCGAAATAAAATGAGTTCATGCTACTCTGCTAGAATGTTTGTTCTTGCTCTTTTCAAAATGATAACGGTAACTATGTGTAAGAAAATTTGGTAGCTCAGGTGGATGACTTTGATAGAGTTTTGTTTTCTGAGCTGGATGCTTTAGTAAACGACTAAAACATCCAGTTCAGAAAACAAAACTCTCTCAAAAACAGTTAAATACTGTTTATTCTTTTATTTTAATCATTCAACTAGTTTAAAAATTTAATTTATTAATCTTATAATATTCGAAAATTTTGTGTTTGTTTACAGTATGAAAACAAAAAGCAAGAAGCTGAAGAGAGAAAAATAACGAGACAATACAATGAAAAGAATAATGAATTTAATTACCTGTGCTAAACAGTAACATTAATAACAATAATATTACCCATAATGACTGAAAATATAATCATGAAGACAAACATACATGACAGATAGATAGATAGATTCATACCCTATGGAAGTGTTCGCTTTCTTTTTTTCTCTCGTTGTTTTAACGCATCTCTAGTGAAATACAATCACTGACAAATGATGAGACATTTCGAAATACACACATATAGAAAAATAGATTGTAAAACACGAATACATGTAGACAAGAGTAGGATACATCTATGAATGATGAACGAATAGTGATTTAGTACCAACAATACACAATATATGAGAACGTTATCACACCAAAATAAAACTGTTATTAATAAGTAAAAATCAGATTGAATTACCCTATTATCATAGATACACGAGATGTTAAATAGGACATGAATGAATACAAACAACTCAATGACATTGTACAAACATGGTAAGAGTAGTAACAGTATTATCATTAGAAATTGAAGTGATAGCATGAATTAAAAGAGATGAGAAAAGAAAGGTAGATAAGTGATATAGACAGAAACAATATATGTTGCCAAATAATACTTAACATATTGTACATTAAAATAATTAAATTTTTGACTAATTGATCGAAAAACATTGAAAATAAAAACAGCAATAGATACAGTAATAACAACATCAACAACAATTGAAGGAACAGTTAACGAACACAATACGAATACTTGAAAATTAAAACACACACACACATATACAAACATACATGCACACACACACACATACAAAATCATTTGAAAGTAGTGGGAAATTCTATTTTTTTTTTAAATTTTTATTTCCTTTCGCTTTCTCTCTTAGTTTTAATTGTTATTAATTATAATAAAATATAA